TGCTCACGTCAACCCTTCAGATGTATTAACTCATTTAATGTGAGGACCTACCATGGGGGTGGGGGCTGTCGTTACCCACATCTTAAAGGTGAGGTAACCAAGGCCCAGTCATTTGCATAAGGTCACAGAGCTGGTAAACGGATCTGAATGCAGGTGGCCCTTCGTGGAACCTTGCCCAGTCTGAGCCTCGTTTTCCTCATCTGCACGGTGGGGCACATATGATGGTCACACCTCCCTCCTGGGCGGTATGACTATGAGGGTGAAGCAGGACAAGGGGAAGGAAGCACTTTGCAGATGTCCCGAGGCCTTGCCGATGGTGGGGATAGGGCAGCAAGGGGTGTGGGGGAGCTGGTGGAAGCCACGGGGTGGGGGGTGGCCTGGCTTTGCCGCCCTCCAGCCCAGGGCTGGGGTCTCAGGCCGTCTGTGGCATGGCCTTGGACTGTCCCCAGGCGGGGTTCCTCCTCCACCAAGCAGGGAAGAGCAGGGCTACCTGGCACGGGGGTTGCCGGGCCCTCTCCCACGGAGGTGCCTGGCGGTTGCCACGCCCACCCTTCTGTACTTGAGGGTGTGGGGCTCCCTGGGAAGGAACCCAACGCCTCCCGTGGCATTTCCTCACCCAGTCAGGGGCCTGAGCCCCACTCCCAGGGTGCAAGAGGCTCTTCATGGATAAGGCCTTAGCTAGCTCCAAGATACAGCTTCAAGGGTTCAAGGCCCTGGCACTGAGCTGGGTGCTGTGGTCACTCTTCCGGCTTGGCTCGACCTGTCGGGGTGAGGGGGTGAAGGGTTATAGGCATGTGGCCGATAATCCACTCCTGGTCCTACTGGAGAGCCTGACTTTTCAGTGGTCCTAATGTGGAAGCCAGAGGGGCCTCCCCAGTCTAATACCTCGATTCCCCACTGTGACTCAGTGAGGGGGTGTCCCCCGGTGCCCTGAGCATCCAAGTTTAGAGGCTCATGCTACAATCCTCCCTGCTTCCTTCCACCCTGGCTTCTCTGCAACAACTGGCCAGGATCCAGGGAGAAACAGGCACGATTTTTAATCACGGATTCATTCCTTCGGCAAGCAGACATGTACTGAGCACCCACTGTATGCTGGGAGCTGGCCTGAGATCCTTGCTCACCCTGAACTCAGCGCTAGAATGATCAATGGGCAATGGCAATACCAGGGGGTACACGCGGTGGGAACCCAAAGCAGACACCATCAAGCTTGGTGAGCCTCCCGGAGGAGGTGCTGGCTACACTGAGCCTGGCAGGAGGAAGAGGAGAAGGTGTTTTGTTTTTTTGTTTTTTTTGTTTTTTGAGTTGGAGTCTTACTCTGGCACCCAGACTGGAGTGCAGTGGCCGCTCCCGGCCACCGCAGCCTCGACCTGTTGGGCTCTGGTGATCCTTCCACCTCAGCCTTCCAAGTAGCTGGAACTACAGGCATGCGCTACCACGCCCGGCTAATTTTTTGTATTGTAGCGATGAGGTCTCACCAAGTTGCCCAGGCGGGTCTCGAACCTGTAGGCTCAGGCAATCCACTCACCTCGGCCTCCCAAAGCGCGGGATTACAGGCTGAGCCACTGAGCCCGGCCTGAGAAGGTGTTCTTTAGAGACTGCTTGTCTGCAAGGAGAGAGTATAGGAAAGGGGTTCTCCTTAGCATGGTACTCAGGCTCAGGTGTCACGTGGTCCCCTGCTGCCTCTGTCTGTCCCTGACCTGCTACTTGTAGAGACACCTGGGTTACAATGATTTGTGTCTATTGCGCGCAAGAGCCCAAGCGGGCCCTGAGCACCGACAGTGGGTCTCCTTCCTCACTGCATGTCTCGGGGTTTCACACAGGGGCTGCACACAGTAGGTGCTTTGTGATGCGGGCCAGAGTAGCCTTCTTGCTCCCCTCCATCTCCTGAGGCCCAGCTGTGTGCTCCCTCCTTTGAGTTCCAGCACTTTGTACATAACTCAGAGCTCATAGTGATTCCTTACTTTTTAGTTGACAACGTACTTTCCCACACATAAACGCATGTGATGCTCACAAAAGACCTGTGCAAGAGATGTCACTATTGTCATCATCATCTTTCAGGGAACAGCACAGCATGGTGGTTTCAGCATGTGGGCTCTGGAGCTGGACTGTCTGGGTTCAAGTCCTGGCTCTACCACTTACTGGCTGTGTGACCTTGAATGAGTTGCTTAGTCCCTCTGTGCTTCAATTTCCCTGTTTGTAATGGAAGAGTAGCATAGCTCACAGGCGCATTGAGAGGCCACAGGTAGAGTAAGAAGAGTACTACCTAGCACACAGTCAGTTCAGTAATAATGGTAGCTATTAGCATTCCAGTGATAGATAAGAACACAGAAGGCCAAGGTCAAGATCACCCAGCTGTCCAGTGGAACAGGATTTTAACTCTGAGTCTTCAGACTTCAAATCTAGTGTTTTGGAATTATCTCCTCACCCCCACCCCCATCTACCCTGTCACCCTGCCCCGTAATTAATCTGTTTATACATCTACCTTTCTTCTGAAGAGACTCCTCAAGGCAGGAGTCTGTATTAGCCTCACAGCTGGTTCATTGTGTCTCCTCCATGCCTGGAGCAGGGTGAATCCCCCCGAGGTTGCATGGAAGGAACCCCACGCTCCTCCATTCCAGCTAAGGCGTCCTGCTAAGTGTCTTCACCTGCGTGGTGTCACCTGAGCCTCCAGACTGCTCTGAAGTGGGCACACATTCTTTACAACTGTGTTAAGGTGTCATCAGCTGCACATATTAGTCCTGATACATGCCTCCGCCCATATGTCTATCGCCATAATCAAAGCTGACACACATGGGCAGCACCCCTTGCATTTCCCCATGCCTCTCTGAAACCCCTTGCCCCTAATTACAGATTTATCTCTAGTTTATAGAGGAGGGAACAGAGGTACGGAGAGGTTCAAAAACCCTCCTGGAGATACTCATCCAGTGAGCAGCCACTCCAGGATTTGAAGCAAGGCTCTCAGCCACCATGCCACACAGCTGGGCTGTCGTCGGTGAAGGGTGGGTGCCTGTGGTGGTCTGTAATGAGGCCCCCTGAGGTGTGCTCTCTCCTCGCTCCACCCTGTGCCCGTCCAAGAAGACCGTTTATGAAGAGACAGTGGGTGAGACTCAGTGTGCATGCGTGGGAGGGGGAGGCTGACACCCCAAAGGGAAGCGCAGATGAGATCAAGATGCCCTAAAGCCAGCAGGCAGGGCCATGCAGGAGCCCGTGGGGCCTGTGGTGGGTGCTGGGCACAGCGTGAGTACGTGTGACTCTGTGACTGAGACGGTGTGACTGCTGAAGGCAGGGACCCGGCAGCTCTCTGGCTGGGGGCGGAAGGTGTTAACTGCAAATGCTGATGTGGGTGGGTGGGCCTCTGGGCCTCGGACTGGGGGCGAGGGAGATAGTAAACACCAGGGTGACGGGAGGATCATGTTGGTTGCCCTGCAAGATGCTGCAGGGTTGTGGGGGTTTGTGTGACTTTGCAGTTCCACAAATTCAAATTCAGCCAACGCTGGCAGTGCCTGTTGTGTGCCAGGCAACCAGCTGGGAGGAGGAGATGCGGACCCATGTGGCCAAGTGGTGCTGGCTGCCGGGGTTTGTGTGTTCACCTTGCGGTGCTTTTTTTTTGCCCTTTCTGGCATTTAATCCTCACAATAACCCTATCCCTGCTTTGAGACTATGGAGAAGCACAGAAGGGAAGTGACTTGCCCAAGGTCACCCACGCTCCACGGTGCCAGGGCAGGACCTGAATCCAAGCCATCAGGCTGCAGAGCCCGAGTCCTTCCTCACCATGCCTGTGCCAGGGTGCAAATGTCTGGTCCTGGAGCCTCAGTCCTGGAGACATCCCCCCAACCAGGTGGGCTCCTAACCTGTCCATGGTCACTGCTCTGAGGGGCGGGGCGGCTGGTCACCCTGGCTCTTCTTTCCCAGGGGCCAGATTCATGGAGAGGGACTGCAGGGCTCTCAGAGACCCCCAAGTGCCCCGCCCTCACCCCAGGCCCTCCCCCAGCTCCCGCTCCCCCCTCCCGGCGCTGACTCCCGGCCAGAAGAGGAAAGGCTGTCTCCACCCACCTCTCGCACTCTCCCTTCTCCTTTATAAAGGCCGGAACAGCTGAAAGGGTGGCAACTTCTCCTCCTGCAGTCGGAACGGCCTGCCTGCCTCCTCGCGCCTGCAGCCTCCCCCGCTGCCTCCCTGAGGGCTCCCCTCCGGCCGCCAGCGCCCATTTTTCATTCCCGAGATAGAGATATTTTGCGCGCACACACATACACACACGCGCAAAAAGGGGGGAAAAGCCCACCCTCCAGCCTCGTTGCAAAGAGGACGCCGGAGCAGCCGCAGCTCGCAGCTCGCAGCCCGCAGCCCGCAGAGGACGCCCAGAGCGGCGAGCCGGCGGCAGACCGACCGACGGACTCGCGCCGCCTCCACCTGTCG